AATTTGACTGACTGCCGTGCTTGTTTATTGGATGCAATAACAGACTCTTGACATATTTTTTACTTCCTCTCATTCATGAATGGAAAACATTGTACTGAGGGGTATTTACATAGGTACCTCGGTGGAATTCCTCCATGTTCCCTTGGTGGCACCGGTGAACACTGATCAAGCATCGCCGGTGGTTCTCGGCACGGTCCCTTCTAGCGCCCGACGTTTAGCGTCTCCGCCCCGGAGGAATTCAGCCACACCTCCGCAAATGGACGCACACTCTCACTCATTGCCACATTTCATCTCATCTCACGATAGGTAGACATAGGACATCACAAAGAAGAGACGTAGAGTTCGGGGTTTTTTTTTTCTTTTCATATTTTATTTCGCTTTCTTCTATTCTAACAGCCATCGCTCATTTCCCTTCCATAAACCTCTTTGCAAGCTACAAAAATGACGTCAAACTCGGCACCGACCGTCATCCAGTGGGTGCTCGATACTCGCTCACTCTGGCCCTCAGCTCTACAGACCCAGCATCTTCGTGTTGTCGTAAGCCTTCACATAGCCTACGCCAAAATTGGCTTTTCATTACGGGCCTGACAAAACTGATAAACCCCCCGCTCATTCCCTAGGCATCCCGGGCCCTCGCGCTTCTCCCCAAGGATGAGCAGGCCAACGTCCTTCGCTACTACCATGTTCGTGATGCGAAGCTCGCCCTGGGCTCTGTTCTGCTCAAGAGATACGTCATTTCCCGCTTCTGCAACGTGCCCTGGGATCAGGCGGTCGCCGTCCGTGATGAGCGTACCAAGCCTGTCTTTCGTCTGCCGGATGGTTCGCAGCCCCTCCTTTTCAATGTCTCACATCAAGCCGGCCTCGTCGTCCTCCTCGCCGTGCACAGCCCGCCACCGGGCGTGTCGGTGGGCGTCGACGTCGTTTGTCCCTCTGAGCGTCGATCGCGGGATCACCAGATGTTGACCAAGGAAGGGTGGCCGAGTTTTGTCGACATGCACGCCGAGGTCTTCGGCAAGGACGAGGTTATCACGCTGAAGAGGCTTCCCTTTGCTCAGAGCACGGATAGCGGGCGGGACACTCTGCTCCGTTACTTTTACGCTCTCTGGTGTCTGCGTGAGGCTTATGTCAAGATGACGGGCGACGCGCTCCTCGCGAGTTGGCTAGGAGACCTGGAAATGCGCGGGTTCGCGCCGCCCGAGGAGAAACAGACACCTCAGGAAGTGTGGCTCAGGGGAAGCCAACTGGACAACGTGGACGTGAGATTGGCACCTCTTCTTGACGAATACATGGTTTCCACTGCAATTCGGAAAGGAGACGGTGGGGAGCAGTTGGCGATTGGCCAGTTTCTAGATTTAGATATTGAGGAAGTGTTGTTGTTTGCCGAGAATAATAGCAAGCCTCAATAACTAGAGCAGAGTTACATATATATAGATACAAACGGGGGGAGGATAAGTATGTATGCGCGGGTGTGTGGATGACTCGTTATGAATAATGACTACAAGGATATCGAAATAGTTGACAATATTATTACTATTTCCCTTACTAGTTGTCCATCCTGCTCAAGCCTTTTGGTTTTTTTTTTTTTTGTCTTCCTCCTATGAATGTGCCTCTCAATGTCTGAACATCGACATCAAGCTTCAATTCATTGGAGACATCATGTGCAATCTGAACAGGGATTAAAAGTTTTTGGCAAAGAATTGCAGAACAGTCTTGTAACCACGTTCATACTCCTCCTTGACACGAGGATCTTCAAGGTTGGCGCGAGCAGCCATCCAACCATGGATCTGGTCTGTGAAAGTTTCAACGTGCTTGGGTACACGGAGTCTCTCTTCAAACTGCTTAACGTCTTCGGGCGTCTCATCCTTAGATGCCAGCAGCATGGTCGGAACGGTTACACCCTCGGCGTCATTAGGATCGACCATGGCAGGGTGGATGGAAGCGGCTATAGAAAATGGGTTGGTGTCTGCCTTTGTAGTGAGGGCTACGACCTTTCCACCCCAACAGTACTAGGAGAAATGATAGATATATCAGTTATCTGCGCGGGGCTGGGAGAGAGGAGAGGGGACGAGAAGCCTTACACCGACAATTCCGCACTTAGAAATGCCTTGGTTTGCGGACCGAACGTCCTGGACGTATTCAGGGACCCGGGCTGCGATCTTTGGCGGAGGATATGTCCCGAAGAAGTTGCCCAGATCGCGCTGTTTCTGTTCGGTGTCCGGAGGGTACCTAAAGAGCCGGAGGTAGAATCAGTCAGTGTGATGTCCATGGATATGAATATACGAGCTAGGGAAGGCTGAGACTCGTACCACTCAATTGGGCATGGCTTTCCCTCGAACCAATCCGGGATGAAGACCCTGTATTTCTGCTCGCCACTGTGAGCGAGGATGTCGGCGCCCTGAAGGGTCTGATCAAAGTAGCCGAAGATGTCGTAGATGACGATGATTGCCTTGGTCGCGTCCGAGGGTCCGGTAACATCTAGATCGGAGCGTCTCGAGTCAGATCTTCGACACGGATGTGGCGACAGATGATTGAAGCAAGCAATACATACACGTGCGTAGTCCGCCGACATCCTGGTACGCCCCCTTTGGCTTATAGCCAGAGGAGACAACTGGTGGTATGTTACAACACGCTTGGCCATGGCCAGCGGTCGCGGGCATTGTTCCAGACATTGTACAAATGGGAGGGAGCAGACGTAAGCTCTGCCTTCAGATTTGCGACGTGGCTATGATTGGAGCTGTGAGCTAATTGTTTTTGCGTTTTTGGTGTTTTGGCGATGATGAAATAGAGAGATGGAGGGGGAGGGGAGAGGGGAAGAATGGAGAGAGGGAAGCAAGGGAGAGAGGCGGGGGGGGAGAGAGAAATGTCAATATGATGCGCACCTTTTTGGGGTAATTCGGGCTCAAATTGACAGGTTTGAGGAGCTTGCCAGCTGGAGTTCGAGGGGGAGAGCGAAAATCCAACCCGAGGTATGAATTCTCGACCAAGTTAACCGGGGGGGATGGAACCGGAACTGGATCTGGAACTTGAACTTGAACTTGGGCTGGACCCCAATGAAACAAACCTACCGAAGGCGGGGCAGTGACGGCACGACGTCGACGTGGAGGGGTAGCTCTCTTGTCCTCCCCCTCTACCTCCACTGTCTCCTCCTCCTGGATGGGACCAATTGGACTGGCTGGCAAAGCTGGGGAATGATAATTACCCATTTCCCAAATGCCAATGACACCACAATGACTACTGTATTAATTGAACTGTTTTCCAAAAGAGGATGTAATAGGAAATCAATCACACATACACCTCCAAAGGAGAAAGAAATTAATTCATTATAATTAATAATGACAAGCAAGGGGGAAAAAAAGGGTCTGGAATGAAAAGAATATAGACAATTGGTTTTGTCTGTAAGTTGATGGAAATAATCGATTGATGAGAGCACAAGGGAGGGATATTTATCTCCAATTTGGTCAACTTTCATGAGCGCTCATCACACTGCCCGGGAGAGTGCACATTCTCGCATGCTTGATGTCTTCACAACAATAAAGATTGCGGATACCCAGCAAGCGCAGCGATGGGTAATCCAGAAAGTTGACCTCAACATACCCCCGAAACTATAATCCCCGGCATTTGTGTGGCTCCCGGTATCTGCACTATGGGTAGGCTAGTAACTACAGTGTCCATGGATATGTTCTCTCTCCTAGACGATGCACTCATCTCCCGGAGGCGTGCCAGAGCTGCCTTTTAGGGAGAAGATACTCAGCCTCTACGTCATTGCCAGGGTTGGCAAGCTATGGAGAGCTATCACAGCACATTTGAGAGTCTTTCCACTCCACAGTCATGTCAACCAGATTAGCGATTATCCTGATTTGTGCATGATAGACTGGCATAGATCAGATTTGTTGAGGTAAGAATAAAGCATAACTAGGGAACAAGATGCCAGTTGTCAAGTGAATTGACTAAGCATGGTCGCTTAGTCGATGTAGCAAACTCTTGGGGAAGTGTCAACTTATCTTCGATGTTGAGCTATCAATCTACCCTACAGACTACTACACAACTCTCTTTTCATCTTGATATCATTTCAACCTCTACTTAATCGGCCCGTCTTGTTTATTGAGAGTTAAAACTGGCACTCGAGATGGGTTGACTTGTCATTTCTTTTTCAATAAGAAAGAGCGGCACGAGATGGATAACCATACAAACGTTCTCGCATGGGATCACCCGGTAAGCTATCGTCGGACGTTGTTACAGCGACGATTTATTCTATACTTTTAGCCTCGAGGGAAGACAAACCTTGCATCAAAGGCCGCACTCAATTACATAGTATTTGGTCGCGTTTCCCCTCCGGCCTTTGAATCCAAAAGAGCTCAAAATTTTGCCAGAAAAATTCACCAATCGAGCCCAACGATCGGACCTAATTACTGGAATCTCTATGTTGGTGTTGGCCGACAATGACGTCGCCACGATCCATGCAGCGAACCCGGATGGAGCCGGCTTCGGCGACCCCGCGCTGTCTGGCTACTACGAATGTAGACGGGTAGACAGGGGGAGTTCGGAAGACGGGCAGAGGAGGTTGGTGAGCATCCTGGTAATATTGCCGCTGCTTTTAGCCTTTTCTTTTTTCTCTTTGGCTGCTACAGTAAGAGCAATTCCATCTTGAGTTACAACAGCCTGTACTCCGTACGTTGGCAAATTTTACCATCTTCCATACATTAGGTAGGGTAGTATGTGCATTTCCGTATTCATTCATAACATCATAACGGCACTTCCGGCATGTCGAAAACACAGGGCATAGGTTGGCAATGTGAAATTCATTCAATGTATGCAGCGTGTTCTCACAAACAATTGACGGCGTAAGGCTGTTGCTCAAAGTACCCAAGAAAGCCCAGCCCAGAAAAATGGTCTACACCTGTTCGATTGCACAGATGGGCCGTTCAACGCTGTCCTATCCTCAGCCTCCCTCTCCGCCGAACTACTTAACCACTCTTTACTCGGCCAATGCACAACAACAGGGACCCATGGCGCAATGGTAGCGCGTCAGATTCCAGAATAGGAATGTCCTGAAGGTTATCCGTTCGATCCGGGTTGGGTTCAGATGTTCTCATTTTCTTTTTGCAGTTTGTCGCTGTTTTTCTGTCTCTTTTGGCTGGCTTTATTGGCCCTTTTTTTTTTTTTTTTTTTTTTTTTTTTTTTTTTTTTTTTTGGGAGGGGGGTTTTCAATCTATCGCCCAACTCCTCCACAGCAAAACATCGTACCTATCAACTTTTTCTTCATATGTTTTGCACATGTGACACAGCTTTTTTCTCCACAATCGCATTGGGAAGGAAGTATATTCAATCAAGATTTTGCGGTTCGTCTTGTCCCTAGACTGCCACGTGTTCTCCCAAGAAAAAATTGTTGTCAAAAACAAGAAAGGACCAAAAAAGAACAAGACCTGACAGCAAGTGCTTGGAAAAAGAGCATAGGGTAGACAGAAGTTACCCCAAACACTGGACATGAAAGCCAGGATGAAATCTTTCGCCCACTAGATATTGGAGAGGAATTTTTGTAAACTGTTCTTTACGCTGAGGTCACTTCAGACTGCAATATTCGGCCGACACATCATTTTCCTCCCCCAGCCTCCTATAGTCATTGAACTCTAATTGCATCCGGGCCGTGAAACTGAATTTCATCGGCCTTTGGAAGTGAACGGCGGCAGAAACAAGGGATATCCAATAAAAACTGATAGAAGGGCAAATGGTAATTGTATTTTTCGTGTTAGCAAGGATTGCGCAGGTAAATCACTTTTGATTTTTCTCTAGGATAAGGAGGACGACGATCATAACCTTACAAAAATTATCCGCCGGCCTACGGAGCTCTAGTTCGACACCACACCTACATCTTCAATCGCAAATGGTATGCGACAATCATGGCCTGGGCCTGGTGGAGATTTTCGCTTGCGGATGATGGAGAATTCCCACCGAGTGCCCAGTAACCCAGATGGTCTGAATTGAAGCCGTCGTCCTTCATCAAATAAAGAAGGGGCCTTGGCGCAGCGGTAGCGCGTCTGATTCCAGATTGGAGCATCCAGAAGGTCGTCCGTTCAAATCGGGCAGGCCTCATTCATTCTTTTTTTGCTTTTCTGCACACATATCTCTCGCTCTGCTCAAGACGTATGTATACATACAGCCTCTCATGCGTTGGGGTTGAAATCAACATCGAAATCGTCCGTAGATCATTCAAAAGACAAGAATCATTTCAGGAAGAAGACATGGCACTTTCTCTTTTTGTTTATCTTCATAAAAAAAAAACTAGAAAAGGACTCACTAAAGTAACAACAATGTCGAAACTGCCAAGCCTATCACACAAACTAAAGTCACCAACAAGAACTTGATATATAACTCTGGAGTACGAAAAGCGAAAATCCGTATCTAGGCAATGATTCGTAGTTGGGCATATCGCTTCGAGCCTCATCACGTGGCATATCCCTGACATGTTCATGTGGGTGTTTTATCCATACGTGTACGAAGCGTCTCTCTGTACCCTCGTCTACTCTGGTACCATGGAGTTGACTCACATCTGGGTGCGGATTGGGAACTGAAGCGGCGACGACACTAGTCCCCAAAAGTATGGCGACTTATGCCTTGGTCAAACCTGGAACAGTCCATTGTTCGACGCAGGAATGTGTCGATTACCGAATCCAGGGCGGTGTGACCGACAGTTCGACATCCATTTTAAATCGTGTTCCTGAGACCAAGGCACTTGGCCCGACAGGTTGGGGAAGTGATCATCTCGGCTTTCTCGTCTGCCAATATGAGGTTCTGCGCCTTATCTCAAGACGAGTGGTGGTGATAAGCGAGCAAAGATCTTTGGTCCCCCATTCGCTATGGATAGGGGAATGGCGACTATCGCAAAGGCGCCGTCAAGTGCTATATCTTGGGCCGTCGGGGACCGGAGCTAAGGTAATTTGCTTATCCGCAGCCGTTGGTCTCAAGTGACGTGACGTTGATTGCGACGCTGCACACTGAGAAAACGGCAATGACACCATCGACAAAGAACCGGGAACGCATTCTGTTTTTCCATGTTTCCATGCTCTGATTTCTTTTGCTTTGCATGCTTGCTAACCCCCTGCTCACACCAGCGAGGTAGTATTCGCCGATGAATTTTTTTATCCCTCGTTCAGCTTTCGCGCTCGTGTGAATGCGTTCCAAGGCTGATTTCTAAGCGCTCATCCAGTCATGACATCTCCGGGAGCACCAGAGGTGAACATGAATGAGCATGAACATGAAGCGGGCCTTCTGACATCAGTCATACCCACAGTGCGCTGAGTCCAGGCATTAGCAGAGACCGGTGTTCGGCCCCACCGGGTCAGATGGCGACGTGTGTCCTGGGTACCTTTTCGCCTCCCATCAAATCCGTTTGCAGCAGAGGTACCTGAGACCAAGTGTGGCGCTTTCTCCAGTCGGCTCCAGTCTTCTGGAGCCTTCCTTTAGTCTAGCCGCTATTGGCTGTGGTGAATCACGCCCGGATCCTTGAGTCCGTGCACCTTCCCTGCCTGCCTGTTTGCTGCAGGCGGACTGGCTGCAACTGCGCCCCCGCGCTGTGCTTGCCTCCCGCCGCCTTGTCGCCAAACCGACTTGCCTCCTCACTCTCTCACCCGACCTACTTAAACCTCGCTTCCCTCCCATCGTATCTTCTCTCCTTTCCTCTCCCGAAATCATCTTACCTTTTCACCACGAAAACCCGATTTCGAATCGAATCCTCGAGCCTATTTGCTTTACTTCTCATCTACATATAACCAACACCTTTGCAACCAAACAACCACCATGCAGATCTTCGTCAAGACCCGTGAGTAGATCCCTCTCGCCACCGCTATTCCCCCCCGTCTTGCGTTGCATCGTATATCTAACCCAGTTTGTAGTGACGGGAAAGACTATCACCCTTGAGGTCGAGTCCTCGGATACCATCGACAATGTGAAGTCGAAGATCCAGGACAAGGAGGGTATTCCTCCTGATCAGCAGCGCCTCATCTTTGCTGGCAAGCAGCTTGAGGATGGCCGAACCCTCTCCGATTATAACATTCAGAAGGAGTCTACTCTCCATCTCGTCCTCCGCCTCCGTGGTGGTATGCAAATCTGTATGTTTTACTACTATCCGTTGACACCATCCTCGTCCAGAAACTAACAGTCTATCTCAGTCGTCAAGACTCTCACTGGCAAGACCATTACCCTTGAGGTCGAGTCCTCGGATACCATCGACAACGTCAAGTCGAAGATTCAGGACAAGGAGGGCATTCCCCCGGATCAGCAGCGTCTCATTTTCGCCGGCAAGCAGCTTGAGGATGGCCGAACCCTCTCCGATTACAACATCCAGAAGGAGTCTACTCTCCACCTTGTCCTCCGCCTCCGTGGTGGTATGCAGATCTTTGTGAAGACCCTTACTGGAAAGACCATCACTCTGGAAGTTGAATCATCCGATACCATCGACAATGTGAAGTCGAAGATTCAGGACAAGGAGGGTATTCCTCCTGACCAGCAGCGTCTCATTTTCGCTGGTAAGCAGTTGGAGGATGGCCGCACCCTTTCTGACTACAACATTCAGAAGGAATCCACTCTTCACCTTGTCCTACGTCTCCGTGGTGGTATGCAGATTTTCGTCAAGACTCTCACTGGAAAGACTATCACTTTGGAGGTTGAGTCATCTGACACGATCGACAATGTGAAGTCAAAGATTCAGGACAAGGAAGGTATTCCTCCTGACCAGCAGCGTCTCATCTTTGCTGGTAAGCAGCTGGAAGACGGTCGCACCTTGAGCGACTATAACATCCAGAAGGAGTCAACCCTTCACCTTGTTCTCCGTCTCCGTGGCGGTCAGTAAATTGGGTTTTATGACGATGTAGCACAGGGGCGTTTGGGTTCATTTGGCATTATGGGTTGGGCAAAGTCCTGACATAACGATATATCCGATTCGTATGATAGTTTGCACATGAGAATTTCAGTGCATGAATACAGACTCTTCTTGCAGTCAAACTCTGTGTTTCGATATGATAATATGAGTGATGTCCTCCAGCCAGGTGTCATCTGACATGTAGTGCACGCGTACTGTAGTACTGAATCTAACACTCATCACACTGTGGAGTCGGTGGATGCAAGAGGGGTTCGGGACAGTAGCGCTTCAAGGTGGCGCATGACGGTGCTCCAGTTTCCGCCTCCACTGGCCGGCGACTAGGTGGATGGCGGGGCAGGAACCCCAGGCTTCAAAAACCTAACAAATCTCCCACATGTTCGACCTTGTCTTGAACATTCTGGAATGTGCTTCTTGTAGTGAGTCTGTGTTGTCGCTTTTCTATGGAAGGCGAGGACCATGAACCTTTGCAGCCTCCTGATCCAGACTCGCCACGGCTTCGTTTATTTGCCACCTTGATCTTACCATACCGACCTCTAGTCTAGGCCTTTTACTTTCGTTGTCGAGCTCCTCGAGGAGGTCCTGTCACTCACGGCCACGACTCTCACTCAACCGATATCCCAACGACGAGTTCAACGCACATTATCGTTCCCGGGACTTTGGCTATGCCTTCTTATTTCTACCACGTCAAATTCGAACTATATCCTACCCCGAATCCGCTTTCGCCAGGTGTAGCAAACAGGACCGGGAGTAGTAATATCTGGCTGCCGCCTCCCGATGCCTGTGTGTTCGACGAACTTCCTTCTCACCCTCGACCCGATAACAAATCTTCTCATCGAACGCCAAGAACCTCCACGTCCGAATTTCAGCTCCCACAGTACCGTCCAGCTCCGTCGCCCACAAGCAGCTCCTTTTCTTCTTCTCCGAACATCATAGATTGCGGGGCGGCCCCACGTGCACCGCTGAAGCAGTCGGAGAGCAAGTTTGAGATAGTGTCAGAACGTCAGTGGCTGCAGAGGAAAAATAGCTCACCACCTCCTTCTGCAAGCGCAGCTATTCGGCCACAGACTGCAGTGCAGGACTGGCGATTCGGCCGTGTAAGCATCGAGACGCTCTATCTAGACACTAGACACTCTATGGCGGGCGAATCGAGTCGCGCAGTGCCCTCAGCGGCGCCTCAACTTGGACCGACATTCCCAGGCGCAGGAACGGACACAAAGGCTCAGTATGTGCCTCTGGAGACGAAGAATACGGAGGTTGGATGGGGTATAGTTCACTTCTATCGCGATGGCGAAGAGACGCAAAGCTCAGCTACAATACAAACAGAAGAAGGCCTCGGAAAGGAAGAAGAGTTAGATGACGATTGCACTACTGTCTGTATACCCGCAGTTCCTGCGTATATGTCTCCAGACGATTTCGTGTCGTTCCTGGGTCGAGGGTGGCTTGAATACATCAGCCATTGTAGAATGGTTCTGACCTCACAGATGAACAGAAATCTGGTTCTTCTCAAATTTCGAGACAGTCAAATAGCCAAGAAATGGCGCCGGGAGTTTGACGGTTCGTTATTCAGCGAATCGGAGGTTCGTCTTGCAATATAACCCAGATCTTAACTCCCAATCAGCTAACCGAAGCTTCAGCGCCAAATATGTCACGCAGTTTTCGTCAAGAGCATCGTTTTCGAAACGCCGACCCAGAGGAAGCCCAGCCAAAGCTTATCCCCCTTGTCCTCTGCTGGTATATCAAACAGTCTTCGACCATTCCCTCCGCCTACTCCCAACTTAGTCGAGCTACCGACTTGCCCTGTCTGCCTTGAACGAATGGACGATACGAACGGGCTAATGACGATCGCGTGTTCCCACGTCTTCCACTGTACTTGCCTCAAAAGTTGGAAAGGTACGGGGTGTCCAGTCTGTCGATTTACGCTTCCCTCTCCGGCAGATATCGACCCTTTGAATGCCTCCGGGCAGCCTTTTGGCTCATCAGTGTCAAATATGTGCTCAGTCTGCGACTGCACAGATGACTTGTGGATCTGTCTGATTTGTGGCTATGTGGGTTGCGGTCGATACAAGGGAGGTCATGCAAAAGACCACTGGAAGGAGACGGCGCACAGCTTTGCACTTGAAATTGAGACTCAGCACGTGTGGGATTACGCAGGAGATATGTGGGTTCATCGACTCATCCGCGATAAGGGCGATGGCAAAGTTGTAGAGCTTCCCAG